GGCACAAGTCTCCTATAAGTTCCACCTTTCGTAGGCCTGATTAGAGATTTCTTGGAAAAAAGCGCCGGTAGTGGGAGCGAAAAAGAGTGTCGGCAGCTCCTGACCCCTTTAGTAATTTTCCAACATTTACGGGGACTCGATGAAAATGATTGAATATCACAAAAACCCGTGAATGGCCCACCCTGACAACTCCCTCCTGAATACTCTTCTTCGCTCCTCGGGCTTCACTGGCGGCATGATAATTTTTTATTTCGAATGCATTGCCGAGCAGCTTGAGGCGTACGGTAGGCGATGGAGGCTGTGAGATCAGACAAGTTGCGTGACACGAATGGCGCTGCAGCTGGCGCGCGCTATCCGAGAAGGCAGCGCACGCCAGGATGAGACGCAGTGAGAGGGATGATCATGCATGCACAGTGTAGTTGGCGATAGTGAGCGGTCAGAAATTCATGGATAGTGTGCTTCTAACGAGCAGAACATTCATTGCGCCTTGCTTCGGACATGGAGGTTGCCGCCGACCTGCGCCCCGTTCTTGGCCCTACGCTTGTTCGACTCGACCCCATGAGGATCAAGCAGTTGCAGTAAGTCTCAAGAGCATTTTTCCAACTGACTACAGTATTCGACTGCTTTGCTTATACTAATTTTTCCAATTGCGGAACTTCAGATTTCTCGCAATATCTAAAATATCTGCTTGCCCCTCGTTTTTCATGTTGATAATGTCTAACTTCTCTCCTCATGAAACATCGGTATTATAGTGAAGTTTGCAGTTTTTGATTTATTGTGCCGGAGATTTTGTTGGATGGGACTCTCCATTGAATATGGCCTGACGCTTCGACTAGATCCTTTCCTCAGAAGCCTAAACGTTGCTCAAAGTTTTAGATTTTGCATTGCACCCTCCATACCGCCAAACTCTCCGACACCGGAGTGTTTTTGGCGGAACATCAGGACAACTACCGAAAAACCCGCGTGGGAGAAGCGAACTCACCAGTCCAGAACCGCATGGATGGAACAACTACACTCAGTGGTCTATGAAGTACTTGGCTGTGGCGGGGTCTAAGAACCATTTTGAGAACGGGACTTTTAGAAATCATAGTTTGCACCGGAACTCGGGCTGTAAAAGAGAAGATAAGACCTCATTTACTTTTCATATCTTTTGAGGCAGTGACGGCTTTCACAAACCCTTCGAGACCCTTAATTAATCATCATAAGAATGCTGTTGTGGGGGAAAGGTAGACCCCAGGCGGAACCGAACACCGTACCCCACACTTACCGGGCGAAAGCATTACCCATTACGCTGCGATGGCTGCTTTTTATTTATTTATTTATTTATGCGTACAATGACGCGCCAGGTCAGTACAACGGTCCGTGCGGGAGATCACTAACAGAACTCAGTGATTCTAGAATCAAACACACACGAAAGGTATAAGGGCGAGGAGGAACTACCATGTGACCAAAAACATTCATGCCTTGGAAATATTTGTAAGAGGATGCACTAGAAGTTAGAGGAGACCCAAAAAGACGAAACAGAAGGGCTACAGCGCCTTATGATATGTAACTCCTGAAATGAAGAGTGGCATGTGTGTGGGCATGTGAAGCTAGAAAGAAGAAAACAACACGATCAGAGCTGTCCCGGGGGCCGCGTTCTCGATAGTTAACAGCATGCACTTTTTACTAGTAGCGTATTCGCTATAAGTGTCGTACTAAGCATTGCGTACAAAAGGGTCATAAGTTGGTTCAGTGAGGACGTCTTATGACCAAGGAAGCATTTTTGAGAGAATTCGAGCAAAATTAGCAGAAACTGATTGATTGGACTCCCATACTCTAATGTCAGAGACGCAGACTTTGGTAACGATCCTGCTTCTCTGATGCTGGACTTTTACCGGCAATGGCGAGAACCTCTATGGCGCTCCACTTATCGTTAGAACCTGCTACTCTGGGCTGCGTTCATACTTTTGTATCGGGACCCCGCGCGAAGATCATTTTGAGCAAATGCGTAAAGGAAAAAGTGTTAGTATCGCATGTGCATTTCAAGCAACGACGTTCTGGGAGAACAGAATATTTTAAGTGGGAAGGGATCTATAGGATCTCAAACGCCGATTCGCTTATAAGAGAAATGCGGCGCTTCGACCGGAACATGATCCTAAATGAGCGCAGATTAGAAATATGCTCCTTTTTGAATCACAATGCCGATCCCTCCAAGTCGCGAAGTATGAACGCATCCTAGAGAGGCCCTTGCTATGACTTTAAACTTTTTTCAGCTCCTACTTCCAAATCTACCGTTTTGAAAGTCTTTTATCAGATCATCAACAGTCTACCATGCTATCGATGAACTGGCGCAATTGTCCGCTCAGTGTATGCAGCTTCGAACACCACTCACCACTTGCGAGAAGCTGATGGCATCCGATCACACGCTCTATCTTAGCTGGGAATATGACACGTAAGTTTATTGACAAGTATAAAATCGCTTGGGGTTGATATAACCCTTCCGAATCGCGGGACCTAAACCATGTGTAAAACCATTCTATTTTCATTTTTTTGAACTGATTCTGTAGGGACTGAGGAAGTCATTGGCTCGGTCGGTCACATCGGGACTCAGTCCCCAACTTACTGGGCGCTACATCGGTCCACACTGGGTGTATTTCGTTTGACACGCAGGCACAAATTTCCCCCCGGTTGGGTTGTAGGGAATTCCAACAGGGCGGGGGTCGTATTCGGCCGCAGGAGAGGGGGAGGCCGTCGTAACTGGGCTGAATGAAATATTTATTTTGAAATAGTTGACTTTTCTCGTCTTCACGGACGTCGCGTAAAAGGGAGGCGGGTGGGGGTCGTATATTTACGTTTTTGGTCTTCTAGGAGTGATGGGAGTGGTGGTTGACGTTTCGTGATTTTCCTGCTTCATGCGTAGTATGTACTCCCCCTGCCCCCCTCCTCGCTCGACGGCTCGATTAGATGAGGAGGAACAGATGGATTGGAGGGGGGTTGTACCTACCCCCCAAAAAAAGGGGAGTGGTCGTACGGACTCGACCAAAATCCCCAACCAATGATGTGCCCTGTTGACACGAGACACGCCAAGAGAGGCCTTGCTACGCATCACAGAGGTAGGACAACTAGACAAACTGAAGGGTTTCCTTGGCTGGTCATGGAGGCACCTTAGAAAGGAGACAGGAGTGCCGAAACCTGCGTTAATTGCTTCATTACAAAGCTAGTAACCCGGACGAGTTATCCGACCTAATCAGCCTGTTCTGACACGTCAATGGCAAAGCGATTGCGCCAAATGTCTGCCTTGCGCCTTACTCCAATACGTTAATTTTAATGTCAGGACCTGGAAGAACGTTTCTTAACACTTCGGACAAGGAAACCGTGTTTCCTTCTCTCACTTTGGACTGCGGACTACTACTGCACTTGCGATTTGGTAGGGTTGTCTCGTTTTCTTTCTTTAGGCGCCAACTGATCTTATAAAGAACTTTTTACAAGGGATGAAAGAAAAAGTCAACGAATTGCTAGAACACAGCCATTTTGGACTCAAAATCATATCATAGTGACTTACGGCAATATGGAAAACAACTTAGAATACGGGCCACAAAAAACATGAAAATTGGGCTATTATATGGATAACTGGCATTGACTAAATAAGAAATACGAACATAAAAAAGAAAACAGCAAAAAAAAGTCGGGCAGTGTAAAGAAAGTGGGGTGAGATGGGCGCGGTGGCCCCAGAGAGTGACCCTTATCGATGGGTCAAGCAGCTGATCGCCGAGATCACGCTTTCACATTTGATCCAAGTAGAGAACTAGGACGTAGATGGTCTAGAAAACTGATCAAATAGGCAGTACATTCAATAGAATCGTCTTCCCATTTGTATTTTCCCTTTATTATTTTGGTACTACTCCAGCGCGTTTAACAGCCCTAGAAGTCTTCTAGCAAATATTAGGTTGTCCGGAAAGTTCTCAGCGTTTTGAGTGTTTCACTTCAAACGATCATAACTTTCTTAATACTCATCGGATTTAATCGAAATAGGCACCATTCGAATCAGCACACTTTTGCCAATGTGACAGCAGTCGAGAAATCCCATCAAAATAAAAAAACTGGGTGGTCGAGAGTTCACGAAATCCACGAAGGCGCTTTTTTGCCTGCGGGCCTGATTGTATGAATATTTTCCAGCAGGAGTTCTGAAAATGTTTGAAAAGGTGATAGTCGATTGGCGAAAGGTCTGAAGAATATGGCGGTTGAGGTAGAACTTCAACCCCCAATTCGTTCAATTTATGGATAGTGATTTGTGAAACGTGTGGGCGGGCGTTGTCATGCAAAGGAATCGGACCCTTTCTTTTGATAAGTGTTGGCTGCATCTGACAAAATTTTCGGTACAATTCGTCGATTTCTTCACAGTAGGGTTCTGCTGTGATGGTTTGGCCTGGTGATAAAAAGTTATAGTGGATCACACCAGCCGATGACCACCAAACCGTGACCAGAATCTTTTTTCGTGAGGGTTCGGCTTTGAAAATTACCTCGGTGGTTCGTCGAAATCCAGTCACTGTCCGGAACGTCTCCTGTTATCATACATGACCCATTTTTCATCACAGGTGACAATTCGGTTTTTAAAAAGGAGTTCAATTCTTTTAGGTCGTTTCTGCTGCGCAAAAGCAATGCAGAAGGAACCTCGAGACGTGCCGATTCCTGCCGGTCACTCCGATTGTGGGGCACCCAATTGTCGAGTTTTTTCACCTTCCCAATGCGTTCCAGACCATCTGCAACAGTGGATTTGCCAACGCCTAGCTCTTCTGCTATCTCTCGAACTGTTTGGGATGGGTCAGCCTCCAAAATCCCCTAAAATCCTCGTCAGATATTGCTTTAGGTCGACCGCTATGAGGTTCATCTTCAAGGCTGAAATCTCCAGAACGAAATTTGTTGAGCCATTGCCGCACAGTGCTTTCTCTAGCACTATTGGGCCCCCACACCTGGTTAATTTGTTGAGCTGTTTCGATTGCGGATTGCCCCAATTTCGAAGAAAAAAATCGTCCGAAGTGCTCTTTTCACATGCTTGAAAAAATCTTGAAAAAAGGGGGTTTATCAAGCAATGGTGAAACGGCAATTATACCATCATCTACAGGATGTGCTACTGAGAAGCAAGGCAGAATGAGTTTTTAATCAGCAGTGAATGTACAAAAAATAGGTGCACAAAACGCTGAGAACTTTCCGGACAACCTAATATTATAGAGTCCTAACGTGTTTGGGAGGGCAGGGGACATAAGGGAGGTTGGGGTTACTCACTCCACGAGGCTTCTGCGTCTCTTCCCAGACCGAACGCTTAAGCTCGGAGAGGACAGACAGTCAGAGTCGAATGAGACTGTTTGCTCTGCAAGAGTAACACGCGGTACATCTATCCAGGCCTTTAAGCCACAGCTGGAGAAGAGATTGCAGAGCCGCTGTTGCGAGCGGTCCTCTCGAAGCACTCACCATAAATTCGCCTTAGTTGCCTTTTAGTGATGGACTTTAACCTTAAAGCATCTGCTGTCCTTAGAGAGGACCTCGAAAGAGAGAATGGGACCGCTGATACAGCGTCCATACTCCGCGACTAATCGTTCACGCGATTAGACCGATTGTGGATTGGTCGTTGTGACCGATCGTTGCAGCGGCATACCGATCTGCAGTGCATGGCGATCGCAGCGAATCGCTTGAAGCGATCAGGAGCAAAGTATGAATGCACCACTCCAAGCGGCGGGGAGCCGGCCGCGCTTCGTTCGCACTGCTCAATCCGCCCGCTTTACCGGAACTGATAGGTTGACAATCTGATCGTTCGCCGATGAGGGCGCAAACGAGCATGAAGGGAGCACTATCACTCAGCGTATATACTTTGCGTGAGTGCGGCTGGTCGCGCTTTCGCGCGCGACTTTTCGAAGAAGTCGCGTAGTGGTGCGATTCATAACGAAGCCGGGTATTTAGCAAGAGCGCACGACGTGACCCCCCCCTTGCTGGTCGCGTGAAAGCCGCAGTAATCGATCAATGAATAAAAGCGCCATCCCTTTCATTCCACTGCGCTCTCGCTCAGACAAATGCTCTTTTGCTCTATAAGTCCCTCTCAGCGACCTCATAGAATTGAACGCTAGGGGCGGCACGACGACGGCTTGCTATGTGGTGCCCTTTTATTTCCTCCCTTTAGGCTGACTCTGAAAATTTAAGAAGGCCTCATCATAAGGGCCACTGGCGCTGTTTGTCGACAGAGGGGGAGGCATTTTGCACTATCATTGCTTCCTCAGTTCTGGTTCACATGTCTCACTCTGGCGAAACCTGTGAAGCTGGACAAGGTAGTCAAGCCATCATGTTAAAACCTGTCAACTCGAAAATCGAGAAGGACGGTGTCTAGATACGCGTCGATAGGGGGTAGCGAAAGCTTGCAAAATGCCCCCCCGTCGACAAAACTGCGCAGAATTGCCTTGATTTTCTCTTTCTGGAGAAGCTGGTGTTGAATAGACATTTTTCAGGGAGAAAAACGTTAGCCGTCTTCATGGGTTCGCAAAGGTCGGCAGAAAACGGCTGTTCCTCTACGACTCCGAAATGCACACCTATGAAGGAGAGGTTTGTTTTTCTACTGACTGCTTATTTTGCGTTTGACTTTTTGAAGGCGATAAAGTATGTGCTGTTTGTTCGCATAGTCCCTTCTCACTCTCTCAAAAAAAGGAAACTGTTAGATTCCAGATAGCGGTACTACTTTCTGCGTCTCTTGCCATGAACAGGCGTAACAACTTGAAGTTATCGATTTTTCAGAGGACTGTCTAATTGTAAGGTGCTGTTCGAGACGAAGACCGTGGAAGGGAGAGGAGGGGGGGGGGGCACGCGGCGACTCTGGTCGTCTGGCTCTTCAAGGCTGAATGCCCCCCCCCTCTGTCGGCGAAGGGAACAGTTTCGGTCTGAGGGAGCAGATTAGCGAGCCCGATGCGCCGCAGCGCCCACTCTGTTTGTCAGAGATGCTGTCGACTGTCGACTCGAGGGTCCCTTCCCCCCTACCAAAAATTCTGCCTGTCAATGAAATGGAGTCTTCGCAAATTCGACGTGACAAAATGAAAAAAAATTTATCTTCTGCGTAATATACAGAAAAATATATCACAGACTTGAGCATGACAGCTAAAGTTCACGAGCTATCAGATCTAATGACGCCTGGTCTTATAACCACCAGATTCTGGCCCAGGTCTGGGTGCTGCTTGAGGAGAGCTGCCGACTCGAGGTGGACTAGCCTTGAGGAGCGCTGGCTCCACCACTGATTGGGATGAGAATGGTTCCAAGTGATGCTGGCCCTGCAGCAACAGGAGCACTCAAGGGTGGTGCCGCTGCAAGACCACCCTGGCCATCACCGCAATCCTCGCCGGCGCCTCCACCGCTTCCACCAACCTGAAAAATGCTCAGAACCTTTTCATTAATGACTGCAACACATCTGAAGATTTCCTTACCGGGCTGCTCAGTACTGGAGGGAGTGGTGGGCTGTTTGCAGGTAAGCTGTTCAGCTCTTGTCCAGTAGGAGGAGATGCTGCTACTTGTGGAGAGTTGAACGGATTGAATGGAGGAGGTGGGGCGATTGGACTGCTGGCTATGGGGGCGCCAAGAACTCCGTCCCCAATTCCATTAGATCCTCCCTGAAAGTGGGAGCTTCTTCTGACAGCCCCTTTCCTGTCTTGGATAAGGTCTCAGTACTTACCTGGCTGTTGCCAGGACCACCATCTCCAGATGGTCTGGGTGGTGGCGGTGGTGCTGGCGCTGCGCCGACGCTGCCACTTCCCCTGCCAGTGTTGGTCCTTCCACTACCATACTGCGGAGTATGCGTAGCTGCTCGCAAACGCACAACCTGCCTGGCAGAGGAGCAAAACTGCGAAGAGCATCCTGAAATTGGCTGGAATGATCGAGTACCTCAGATTGACTCTATGATGAATGAGGCGGAAGGTCGAGGTCTCAGTGCCTTTTATGGTGAGGCTGTTGCTCACCTTCACAATTCGGTTTTCCCCGAGCAGTGTGACCCCTTATCGGGTCCGAAATATCGCTACATATGTCTCGATGCTCTACATCCATTCCCTACCTCTCTCTTCTGTTTGATGTTCCGCAACATCACCGCTGCAAAATCATCGAAAACACATGTAACTGGCCACTAGTAATTGGATAATCATCTCCTTAAAGATCTCAATTCCATCTCGCCTTTCCGTGATGCGCCAAGACTTTGAACAGTTCCAGAAGGGCTGAAGTACCAGGGTTATTATGGGAACGATTTCTTATTAAGAACCATACGGTGTGATATCGAGCTGCAATAACGACAACTTTGAATACAACACCCTTTTAGTAGCATTTTTACGCGACCATATAATGTGACCTAAAGCCAAGGGTAGAACTAGTTGAGGAGGGCGATTGCCATGCGGCGGCCCCACTATGCTTCATCATGTCTGCTCAAAATATAGGTCGAAAGGAAAGCCTTGTTACTGTTGTGACTTTTTTCTTTTTTATTTTCTACCTCAACATACAATGGAAAACTGTCAACAATATACTCGTCATAGTTAGCCACTACAATGTTCCACCTAATGGGCAGGTAAGCATTCCCCTCTCCCAGAACTAGAGAGGCTACGAGTAGAGTAAGTCAGCGGTCTCTCGTCTGGTGTCATCAAAGTTGCTGAAAGTTTTCATAGATAAGGCCTCAAGAAGGTGGAGCAGGTAGCAGTCGAAAGGGACTACGTCAGGAGAGTTCAAGTGGGGTTTGGTCCCCCAGCCTTGCTTCCTCATATGTTATTCGGGTAGGTCTCCGTAGCAGTTCCAGTGTGCGGTCTCGCATAATTGACGAGTGTGTCGAAGCTTAGTTTTCGCGTTCATTTTTTCTCCAGCAACTTGCACCGGCTTTTCAGGAGGCTGGAGCGACACAAATGGTAGCTGTGATCGTGTGTTCTTACAGGTCAGCTCGCTCTGCAGCATCCCTTTCGAGTCCTAGGAGCAGCACAGGAGAACCTTCTCGGAATACATGCCCGGTTTGGACTGCTAGAATGGATCTTCTCCTTGAGAGAGACACACGGTACTGTGTGGGTTGAAATCACAGAGGACCCATCTGTCATCTCCACTAAGCAGTCTCCCAGAAACACCTTTTGACGAGGGCGGAGAAGGGGAGACTGACCAAGGGGTACCCGGGTGCGCAGCGTGCCATCGGTCAAGGTATGAGTGATCCATCGAGCCAGTACTTTTTGGTAGTCAAGGGCTTACAGGCGGTGGACGACTGTCAGTTAGGTACATCCGAGGTCTGTCGCCAAGACCTCGGGTGTACCTAACTGACAGTCGTAACCGAGAAGATGTCACGGAGGCATTTCAAGAGCGGCCTCCGGATCCTCCTTTGACTGCCCTCGAGATTGAGAGTCTTCACTTCGTGGCGGCCGTCCCAACGAGGTTTGCTTACGAGGAGGCTCGTGTCTCCTTTCGTGAAGCGAACGAACCAAAGATGGACATTCATGATGGTAGTGGTGTCTTCCGCCAATGCACTGCCGATGTTGCGGACAGCTGCCGTGTTCAGGTGCCGCTGGACACCGTTAGAAGATTGATACCCGAAGGCACTTGTCGTGGCAAACTGGAATTCGCCAATTAGACCAGGAAAAACGCAGGGCACCCTCACACACCTCTTGCAGGAAAGCTGCTAGAATGTTCTACAAGCATGGCATGTTACGCCATAATCGAGCTTCAAGAACCGAAAAGTGTAGGCTTTCCAAAAAACACTGACAGGATTTCCCTTCCAACCTAATACGTATACGCCTTTTCGCAGTCGAGCTTCTGCGTGAAAATGCTCCGTGACATCTTCTCGCGCTTAAAAGGGGCGCAGACCACGATAGTGGCACCGACTCCTGCGCGTGCTCTCCCTTGGCTACAGCTCTCCCCAAAACCCAATTGAAGCTTCCCTACGGTTGCGTTATGTGGATGCCTTTGAAACATACACGTCCTTCGCGTGCACATTTTTGTTAGGTCAAGGATGGTTGTTATTGAATTGATGAAATCTGCCTCAGCAGCTATATAAAATATGAAAATGGTGATGAAAGTTGATGTAATGTGTCGCGTACTCGTTGGAATTCTCTCATAACAGAAGGATGAAGGGTACTGTGGTTGAATAGGCAGGTACTATGCGACGGCGTTGAACCCTACTTCCGTTCACTCCTCAAATACAATTCCCGTGATCAAGTGTAACAAGTAGCAGGTGCCCAGTCATGAACCAGTAGCCCATCAAAAACCCATCAGTAGAGAAAGAAGAGGAAAAAAACGTTTGGCACCGAGCGCCCTCCCCCCCCCCCCCCCCAGCAGGGCATTCTAGCCCCAGTCACGACAAGTAAAGTAGAAATCACCTGGGACGACACTCCAGGCAACGCCATGTACGCGCTGCGCAATTCCGCTTGAGGGCGCGTGGTTATTGCCAGGAGTTGCAGGTTACGGCGGGTTGCACTGGTCGCTAACTCGCGTGTCTCTAGCTTCGTTATCTCGCCATTACGAGTGACGAAGGTGTTATATCCTCTGCGAGTGCGGAGAACTATGCCAAAAGCACGGAGGCATTTTGCTGATCACTTGATCGCGGGAAGTATCTTTAAGGCCGTGTATATATTTACTTTGCGACTCAGAAGATACAGCAATGTGGGAGACTTGGCGATCGAGTACCGCCGGAGACATTAAGAAAGATAGAAAAGAACATCCTGGATCAACCGCGAAGGGATTCAGTATTTTATAGAACATTCCGCAGCGTCATCGGTACTCAGGTGACGAGTAGACACACAATCAGTTCTTCAATTAGTTGTTCTGAAATGCTTTTGAAGGTTCCATAGAGAAATGTACTGATTCCGGTTCGCTCTTTTAGTGCCTGTGCGGAGCTTTCCTGGAGCGAGGCGGAATTTATTCTGGGGAACGTGGTCGAAGACAAGTATTCTGGCAGTAGGCAAGGTTTTCTAGCCTTTCCCCTCAATGGCGCTGCGCCACGCAGTTCAATCAAATTCACTACTTCCGATTATTTGATCTTTCAATAGGAGAAGGAGAAAAATAAAGGCTTGAGTAAACTGCTCTGGAACACAGGTGGTTCCAAGGAGCAGCAACACTATTCATGAATTGGGGATTTTCTTTTTGTTTCTTTTTATGTTTATGTTCCTCCCATGCACCTGCCTGTTTCCCGACGACGCAAGTACTGTCCTCATCATTACGGACTGTCGGGGCGTGTCAGCCAGTAGGAGTGTGGACACTGTTGAAGCCGTTCTCGAGCTTTTCGTTGAATATGCTGTATGCGACAAAAAGTGGTAGAAAACGAGTAATACGAGGATATAATACAGTAATGTCACTTGCCCGCTTCAACAATTGGTGCAGAACGACTTCGGTACCGCGCCAAACGCAGCCGCACTGACACGCCCCGACAGTCCGTAATGATGAGGATTGTACAAAAGGGAACCGAAGTTCTTGATCAAAGAATCAGGGACCTGGCCACAGTCTGTCGAGGAGGTCAGGATTGAAAAATTGGAGCGGGCGGGCGTCATGCAATTTTGTGAATGACCCCTCACCCCAGGCGAGACCTCAAGCTAAAATTCGCGAATGGGTCGCAGGCGCCATGGTGCGGATATTTTATCTTTAAAACGAAGAAATATAACTGCGGGCTCGTCAGGGACAGTTCGATGGTCAGCGGGACGATAAATGAACGAAAATTCCAACCTCTGAGAAAACCAAAGTCCATCCACTTGTTCATGAGCAACATAGCATCTTGTAATTCCCGTAGATAATGATTTCTTCGATGAAACTACCTCACGCCGACTTTCAGCCCATATCTGGCGGTGAGAGGGGTGTACTGTGGTGGCGACGAGAGCTCAGACGAAAGAGAGGCAGAGACGTATGCAAAAGTGACAAAAGTTGGCACTGGAAGGCGCAGCAGTTGCCGTCGCCGTTTTACCTTTTCAGAACTCATTCATACCTCGCTTGGTCCAAACGCTCGAGCGATCCAATTGATCAGATCGCGAAGCTATGAACGCGCTCTTGGGCAGGCGCGAATCTTATTGGGACTTACATATCGTCCGGATCGTATCCCTTGATATAGACGATCGTCCTCTAGACTCAAAAGGATTCTCCAGGTACCCTGCTCTGTGCGCCTAGATGAATCAGTTGTCGTCATCGGTCTTGGGTTTCCGCTTATTCGTTATATATTCGAGCTATTTCGCCGATGTACCTTCTCTTTAGAATTTTTGCTCGCGAATATTTCTACGTTTTTTCTCTTGCTGCACTCGTTTTCTAATTTCCAAAAAAAAAGCCCTTTGATTTAGAATATTTATTATGCACTAAGCAATAATGGAATGTCGTGTATGCGGAAAAGATCGTTGTTGTCGTCGTCGGGACGTAACCGTACACTAAGAGGCTGAGGCAATCACTGAAATCATTTCAATTTAACATATAAGTAAGGCTCGAGGCTTTAGTAGGGCTCGTTAGGAAAGAAAATTAGGGACGTGGAAATTCATAACCCAGAAGGTGCGCAACTCGAAGAGCGCCGTTGCTTCGTTCCTTTGCGGCCAGCGCTCGACGGTTTCTGGAATTGAAAAGGTTTTCGGCAGAAGAGTGACAAGCCAGTAGTCAACGCACTGTAAGCTAGCTTTGCGGCAATTCTTAGCCTTCAGTTTGGACTCGGTCTACTGATGGTATCCTTTTTGCCGTCAGATGTATTCTGCTTCGCGAATTTTGCCGCTTCATTCGATATCCCGGTGTCCGTGGTTAGAAGATCCACGTTCCTCTGTGCGCAGTAACTAGCTTTCATTCCCTCTCCCGGAAAGTCCTCTCTGATTCGTGGCTAGTTGACTCGATCTGCTTATTCCCATTTTGACTTGAGCAGCATGCCACGCTGAATGGTATGGGTCCTGAAGCGAACACCACGAGCGTCACTCATTGGAGCGCCTCTTTCGCGATACTACGCTCTAGGTACCATATCTGGAAGCTATTCAGCTATCCTCATCCCTAATCTTGGAGGAAATGGCAGAAGGAGGCACAGGAAGGTTAGTTTAAATGAAAAAAAATGTGGGGGGGGGTGGTCTGTACATCTCCAG